GCTCATCGATCTTTGACTTGACTTCTGAAGTCACGCTAACCACAGACCACAATAAGCAATAATGTTAATAACCATTTCTTTGATTTAAGCGACACACTCCATAAATTAAAGTGTGGACTTGACATCACAGGAACAAAAGAGGACGAACTCATCAGGCTTACATTCTCATGCACTTAGTAACAGTTTATGCAGGGATTGTCCAAATTACTATCAATTTCACTCGAGAACAATCAGTATTTCTTACTCATTAAGATGTTAAACAATACACCAGATCAGTCAAACGGTTTATTGTCAGAACTGAAAGATTAGCTGCTTGAGTGACTTAACAAGTTGCAACTAGAATCACTTTTAGATGTTTAAGCAACGTAGAACAATTCTACAAACTTGTTAATGCACAAAACTCATTTAAACAACGTACAAATCATTAGTATAATCAGGAATCTCCATAAAAAAAATTAAGATCATATGGAATCTCCAGAAAATCAATTCCCACATACATTTCCTAAAACCAAAAGTTCTGCCAGAAGTACTGTGCACAAAGGCAACAAGAAGCTTGGAATGCATCAATTTTGATCAAAAGCGAGATCCAGATCAAAACATTGTACAATTTTCATGGCTAATTGCAAATCCTATACAAGGTCATTTAGATCTATATGCTAGTCCAACTGTTGCAAAATGAAGAAACTGCAAAGCAGAGAATATGGAGCAACGTTTGCAGAAAAAATTAGCCAATTCTGTGCGCAGAAGCAAATACCTAGTTCCTCCTAGCTGAGGAAATTCATCGAAAAAGCAATCGATACAGGAATTACATCGCAAAAACACACGATATTGCCTTAGCAAATACTTAAGCCCATATAAGTTTATGAAGAACCTAGAGCTTGGTTCTAGGTCTGAGACTCAGCTCTCCAATGATTTAACTAAATGTAAACAAATTTATTCAGCTTCGATATATCTGTACACGAGAAATCAATTATCAAGGAAAACAGGAATCAGACATGCACCTAGAGATGGTTTCTTCTTTCTTCTTCAGACCGTCTTGTTGTGCCTTCTCTCTTATCTGCTTTAACGCCGTCATAATCCCTTTGATATCACTGCCAGTTTCATTCGACCTCATCAAATTCCATACTAACTTTTGAGAAATTAACAAAAAAAAATATGAAAATGAAAGCGTACTCTGAGATCTCAGCATCGAAATCATCTTCGACGGCGCTAGCTCGCCTTTTGCTCTCCGATTTTGGTATTTGCGGCTCCGAAACTCTTTTCCTTGCGCTTGATTTTGACGCCGACATTTTCTCTAGAAAATTGAACTTTGAGAATCAGCGTTTGTATGTGTGTGAGAGGGGAGGGAACTTTTGAGAATTCAAAATGGATTCTACCAGCTACGAATATTTATGTTTCTGTTGGCGCGAAACTGTGTTGATGGTTGATGAACAGTACTCACCGAATTCTTTTTGTTACTTGCTTTTTTTCCTTTTACTTTTACTCGTCACATTTATTTTGATTATCAATTTGACTGACTCTTGAATCTAAATCGAATTAATTTAATTAAATATTTCAAATTTCAACTAAGATATGATTAAATTTTATGCAAATCGACTTATCAAAAGTATATGACAAATACAAGTGAATGAAAAGACTAAAAACTAAAACAAGTAAATAAAAAGAGTTTTTCGTACTTTTCTGAAAACGTAAATGCTAAGCTTGCCACTTCATTTGGTATGATTCCACTATGCATTAAAATTAAGATGCTATTTTGACGTGTATCATATTCATCAATGTGATTGTAAATTGTTTGAATTGCACATTTATTCGAAATTTAAACTTGAGATGTCTAATCTAAATAAATGCATTTGAATTCCCTAAGCGTCCACTGTCAAAAAGAGCTTATGCATGTTGCAGCAAAGTTTAAATTTTAGATCCACCTTTTGCTCGGTATTTTGCAAGGGTCAAAAAATCCACCAAAAGATAAACCTTCTAATTTTAGATCCACCTTTTGCTCGTGTTTCGCAAGGGGTCAAATAAAACTTCTAACGTGCTCTTGTGGTTATGACATTTTCCACCTTTTTTTTTTCAACTAGTTTCCGGGCACGCGCTTTGCGCGTGTAACCCATGAGTGTATTATTTCTTAAAAGATAATACTACTTAATAATAAAATATTTCTAATTGAGATTTCTTACTTTGTTTTACTACTAATTGTGACACTCCAATTTTCTGACCTCCAAGTGAATGCATCGAGATAATAATATGAAAATTAATAAAATAAACTTTGTTTGTAATTCAAAAAATAAGTTTGCAAAGCTAAAAGGAAAAATAACAACTATCTAAATTAAATTTCTTGATAGTTCCGTTTTATTGGTAGAATAATGCTAGATAGTGTAAGATTAACTTTGAGTGAAGGAAAACAAAACCTTTCAACTTTTTTAATGAATGTCTTTTTAAGTATTGTATTAAATTTTTATCCACAAACACTTTAAACTAATTAGTTAACTATAAATATTTAAAACTAAGATGTAAAAAGTTTTTATCATTTATATTTTAAAAATCAGGATATTTATGAATAACTACTTATTTTTATATAAAATTTAATTCTGTCATACATAACTTATCCACCATTAATCTACTATTATATGTTTCACCTTTTTTTCCATAAAAAGAAAAGAAAAGAGTAAACATCCTATTTTATCACATTCATTCTTAAAGATGAAAATTAATGTATATGTAAAAATTATAAGTACGGAGAAAAGCAAAAAAAAGGTACACATGAGCAAGATAATTAGGCATTTCATTTTGTTTGTCTCTATAGTGAAACTGAACATTTGAGCATACCAAATACAAATATGAATTTAGAGCAACTTGCTAATAAAAACAAGAATTCAACTATACGAAGAGAGACAAAAAAGTCTTATTATAATTCTTACTACAAATAAGTATAAAACTAACACATCAAGCTCCGATGCTTCAGTAATTGAATTCTTATCTATTCCCGTAACTGCATGAGGGAATCTCACAACTTTCACCTCAAATTGTGACATTATTTCACATGTTTAGAGTTCCTACATAAAAGAATTGTAGGAGTGGTAAATAAAAGTTCTTCTTGAAAAAGTTAAATTTATAGAACAAAATTATGGAAACATGAAAAGTCACATAAATTATTGTTAAAATAAATATAAAAAAGATAGAGATGAAATTTAATTTTAAAGATACATGAATCTACTTTAATTTCTTAATAATTACTCATTTTTATTTTTATTTACATTTATGTTAGAAATTTGAAAGGTCATGATTATGAAATGAAAATAAAAAGATTATATATATATAAATTATATAAGTTTTAATTTATTAGAGGGGCAAAATGGTAATTCAACTTTTAAGTTTTGAGCTTCATTCTTATAATAATATATGATATGATTTAGAATGGAAATAACTTGCACAAAATGAAGCATTTTGTGAAAGCTTTACCAGAATCTTAACAAGATAAAAGCCGTTCAAGATCTTCCATCTTTTGCATAGCAAACAGATCAAAATCAATCTAATTAGATGACTACTCAGAGTTAACTTACAACTCATTCCATCAGTTTGTGCAGATCTACAAACAAGTAGATTGATGAAATTATAAATACCTGACACCACCATCTTTAGAACTGTCAAACTACACACAGGTGGCGTTCAATGCACCAATAGAACACTTAAGAAACTGATTTCAGCATCGAGGATCTATTGTGCAAGACTAAACGCAGCTACAAGGTGACTCAGACATCGATTGTGCTAGCGAAAAATGAGAACAAGCAGGCTATTTACTCCAGAGGAGGTAAACTGTATACTGGTCCTACGGTGCCACTCAATTTGTCATTCTGAACTGAGATCACACTTCCCCTTCACTGATGTGAAGCCAATTTCTCTTTATCGACCTCGAAAGCCTTCCGAGCTTGTTTCAGCTCCTCATTCATGGACAACAGTTCTGTACACTGGTTAAGTTTCGGCAAGTCCTGCACAATAGAACAGTATCCATCCAAAATTTAGAAGCTCATAAAGCAAAATTTGCAGTAACGCCATATCCAGTTTGTAGAGGTAGCAAAGCAGGACTGATTTTTCAGAACAACCATCCATACTCTTTTTGACAACTAAAGACGTGTTGAAATATTCAAATCACAGCAAGAGAAACCAGTAAGCAGCACAATAGAAGAGGCACGTGGCACTAAATAGATAGAAGGCGAAGGCAACGCCTCAATCTCCCAGCCTAATTCTACCCAACCAAAAGATGGAGTAAGATGAAGTAATTTTTTGTTTTAATGATCAACAAAGTAAGAAGCTAACTATTCTTGACATTTTTCGTTGGCATGGAGACATCAAACTAGTCCCGAAAGAGTTTCAGGTTTATCAGGCACAAACAAACATGAAATTACCATTGGAACTATTTTCAGATACAATTCTATAATGGTGATACATGAGCTAAACTACGATCTATCATAATGAAACCAATTATTCAGTGTGATAGCAGTACTAACACGCATGAGGTAAGCCAAAATAATAGCAACAAATAGAACCTTAAAGTAGTAATTAAGCTTGAGATGAGCAAAACTACAAATCTCAGCTTCTGTCCAACTACACTTGGCTATCCGGACACTTGTATATGACTTTGTTCCACTAAAAGGCAGGTCTAATAGTTTCCTTAATGTTCTTAATTGAAATAATATAGAAAACTCTCAAGACCATCTCATTGAGCGAAAATGGGATGGACATTTTTCAACTAAATATTCGCCATAATGCTGCAGATTCAGATATGCATATATATTATATATATGCATGTTGAATTCACAAAAAGACTGACCTTTCTAATTAAGAACAGAAAGTCCTCGGTCAAAAGCTTCCCCCTTTTGGATGCAATATCCTGAGCTTTGTGCACCTACCCAAGTTGAAGAGCTCAAAAGATAGGACCATATGCATGTTTCTTCTAAATCAAATACTGAAGAAAATAAATTGCGTAGAGTGAGAGAGAGATATAGAGGAAAGGGATGATTTTATTATGAGGGAAAGCCCTCTATTTATACAAGAAAACTCAACACTTTGGCCAAATGGCCGACACTCCTTTACATACAACACTTTACACCTGGCCTATTTATATTCGGCCGACACAAGAAAACAAAATACTTTCACACATAATTGGCCTTTATTTTTTATATGGCCGACATACTATTTACAACTTTACTTCTTTATATACTGGCCTTTGCTTTTTTAAATATGGCCGACACTACTATTCATACTTTACAGACACTACTATTCATACTTTACATATGTCTTCATTCTAGCTGGACTTCAGGAATATAGTTATCTTCTCCGTCGCATTTTGTACATAGATGATCTGAATACTTTTGTCCAATTAGTTTGCAGTATCTGGTCATCAAGTTTGGAGAAATGAATTTTTTCCTGATAGCTCTTGTTGTAGGTGTTTGTTCTGGCTTCAGCAGACTTAATATCCATTGTCGTACTTCTTCCATATCTGCTGCTCTTATATCTCTACAATTGGAGTATATCATTGTTTGATCTCTGTTGTAATAACTCCAAATTGCATTTTCATTTAGGTAGTGTTTGATAACTCATTTAATATGGTAGCTATCCCAATAGTTCTTTTGTTTGCATAAAAATCTGGGATATCCACCTTCTGTATCTCTTCTTGTATATCTATTTTTTCTAGTATTATCATATCTCTAGTTAAATCTATCTTAATAACTTGTATTGTAGGTTTAATTTCTTCATATAGTATTTCTGCTGTTGCTGAGTAGAACTTTATATAAAATAAAGTTCCTTTAGTTATTCTTTTATATTGCAGAAATGCCTCATGTAGCTCAGGTATTTTAGCTACTTCGTCTCCAGTTATAGTATATACTGTGCTTATTAGCCCGTAATTGTAGCAAGTTGCTACTAGATTTGGATTTGTTCCTGGTTGTGCTATTAGTTTGTTGTATCCTTGTAGGTATTGGGTGATATAAAATTTTCGTTTGGATTTTTGGTATCTTTTGCTCTAGGGTTTAGGTTTAGAAAAGTTTGTATCTTGTATATATTTTCTATATACATTCTGTTAATGTGATTATATGTTTGTTTTTGTGAATCTAGACTGGCTTTGTAAGTATTTATTTGTGGGGTACGAACATATCTTTTTGGGTATTTTGTGGAGAGTATGGTTTAGAGAATAGTTTGTTCATTTGTGTTTGTATATTTCATCTTACCTTCTTTTTTTGTAGATGTTCCTCCTGCATATGTGCTTCCTGTAGATGTGCTTCCTGCAGCTGTATATATTGTTTTGTTATGGGTTTTTAGGTGTTTCCCAACGTCACCTTCTAGCTCCGTCATGCTGCTGGTTTTTAAATGTTTCTATTAATACTTGTACTTCGTTTTCTATCTTCTCCACCTTTTGACAAAGGTTTGTCATCATAGCTAGTATTTTCTCCATTGTATCTTCTTCTGGAGAGATAGTCTGCAATAAAAATTTTATCAGTCTTAATTACTTCAATTGTAACTGTAAAATTTAGTATATTTAATACCAATCTTCTTATTTCTTTAGTTGTAACTGAATCTTGTAATTTTCCAGTAATCCACCATTTAACTTGTGCATTATTTGTTCTCACAATAAATTCATTGTAAACTATATATGGTTCAAACGCTAATAAACATTTATATAATGCAAATAACTCTTTTCTGTTTATTTCCCATTTTAATTGTGCTTCTGTATATGATCCTGAGTAATATCTACAATGATGTTCAGTTTGTTCATTATCATATTTGTACTTTAAAACTCCTCCATAACTATAATTACTTGAGTCTGTTTCTAATATATATATAAATCATTTTTCTTCATCCGGAAAATATAGTTTTGGTAATTTTTTGCATAAATTCTTGATACGTCTTATATGATCTTTATCTTTATTATCAAAATAATATTCAACATCTTTCCTAAGTTTTTTTATGTAATGGTTTTAGGTATTCTGCTAATTTTGGTATGTATTCTCTTACCTGATTTACTATTCCTAAAAATGATTGTAATTTCTTTTTTGTATCTATATTTTCATCACTATTAACAATTTTTTGTACTATATGTGTTTGCATTTTTATTCCATTTTTATCTATTTGTATTCCTAGAAATTCTATTCGTGGTTTCATAATTTATGCTTTCTTTTTACTTAAGCTTATACCAGAATGTTTAATTATATGTATAAATTTTTCTAATAATCTAATATGTTCATCTTGTGTTTTTGAATATAATAATATATCATCTATATAAACAATGCAATTTTCTAATTGATTAAAATAATTGTCCATAAAATGTTGGAATCTACCTGGTGCATTTTTATATCCAAATGGTAGAACATTCCACTCATAAAATCCTTGTGGTACAGTAAATGTTGTTAGCTGTTTAGATTCTTCGTCTAATTTTAAGTGATAAAATCCTGATTTACAATCAAATTTACTGAAATAGTTATATCCTTGTATCTGTCTTATTTTTAGTATCTTATTTGGTATTGGGTAGTTATATGTTTTAGTTTTAGCATTCAGGTTGCGATAATCTATAACCATTCTACTTCTACCTCGTTTTTGTTCACTATGTTTATTAACTATAAATGCTGGACTTGTATGTTTACTATTGCTTTCTTGTATATAATTATTCTTCAATAGTTCATTTATATGTATTTTGAATTCTTTAAATCATCAAAATTATATTATAATGGTTTTTGTGTTATTATACTATTTTCATCTATTAATTCAATTTTTACTTTCATCTTATGCTTTTCCCATCCTTGTAATGGATTTTCAATATATAATAATTCTAGTTGTTCGTTAATTATTTTAACTTTATCTATTGTAAATATGATAATTTCTAATTGTGTTGTTTGATTTTTATTTATATTTTCCATTTCTTGGTTTATCTTTTCACTTCTTTTTATCCATTCTATAGGTTTACGTTGTTTATTATTTACTCTTTTTGCTCTTATCTTATTTCCGCATGGTGTAGTAAACCACCAATGTGTTTTTGTTATAATATGTGGATAAAATCTTTCTAGAAATGACATTCTAATAACATACCTTTTGTTGTAAATTCAAAATTGTACATTTCTTCTATTGTTAGTATTTTATCCCATATTTGTATTTTTATATTTTTTGCTTTATATGCAATCATACTTCCTTCATTATTAAATCCTGTTACCACCATAGGTGTTTTTAATTTTTCCCATTTATCTTCTGGTAAACAATTATATTTACATATATTCGCTTCTGCTCCTGTATCTATCATAGGGGTATAATATCTGTTGTGGTATCCTTCTACAGTAATTTTTGCAAGTATATAAATTTTCATTATTCATTTGTTCTTTTGATAATTATCTTCTTATTTTGGCAAGTTATTGTTAATTGTTCATTTTCTATATTATATGGTTTAACTTTTTCTAACCATTTTATTCCTAAGGTAATATTTTGGTTTCCTTGGTAGATTTTAAATGGTATTATCAAGGGTATTCCTCCTATAATTATTTCTTTTTCTGTCATCTCTTCGTTTGTGTTTACTATTTCACTAGGTAATCCGGGGCATAAGTGTCTTGTTTCTATAATTTCTGTTTCTAATACTAATTCTCTCGTTATATAATTCTCTTCTTGTCCTGTATTTATCAAAATTTTATATCTTCTTTGGTCTATTATCCCTGTTATAAAGTAATGGTATGGTGTTATCTCTTCTTTATCTAATAAATTTTGTGAGATTTCATAATTTCTTTTAGATGTGCTCATTCTTGATGATGTAGCTCTCGTTAATGTATTTGGTACACTTGAAGTGCTTAATCTTTCTTTTACAATTTCTAAATCTTCTTCTATGTCTATTTCTTTATAGCTATAGTCATTGTTGTCTATTATGGTAATTATTTTTTCAAAAGGATTTTCTACCTTTATTCTATCAATTTTTTATTTCTTGCTGTTACTTTATGTTTTGTTGTTAGTATATATAGGTTCTTACATCTTGCTGTAAATATTTTACTTCCTGGTGCTAATTCTATTTCAGACATTTTCCAATATAGAACTAATGATTTATCTATATTTCTATATGTTAATGCTACTAAGTAGTTGGCACTTATTATAAATTTAAATTTTTGGTATATTAAATTTCCTCTTACTGCACTTATTACACTTTTTTCTATAGGGTGTATAATTCTATCATCTGCTAAGTATATTTCAATAAGTGTGTCTATTCCTTCTCTAACACATGCTTTTATCAATATTTCTGTTCCTCCTAAATGTACGTATTTTATGGGTGTTTTAGCTTTTATATCTTGTATTTCTTTATTAATTATCCTCTTATTTAGTATAGGTATTTGTGCCTTTCCTTTTGTATATTTGCAATCTATGATGTGTTCTTTCTGGCTAACTATATAATATTCATCTTTTTGTCTTTTAAACCAATTCCTTAAGGTAGGTATTTCAAGTATTTTTTCAACACTTAAATCTAATTCTTTTCCTTTTATTTGTTCAAAAATTGTATTATCAAATATAATTTTTTGTTCTGATAATTCTTCATTTTGATAGTCTTCTTTAGATATTATTTTTATGTCGTCTTCAGACATTAGATTTCTTCGTTCATTACATCATTTTCTAGATCAATATTTTCTTCTTCATTTTCAGTTTCTATATCTGATACTTCATATATACTATCGTTTTCACTTAGTTCATAGTTTATATATTCTATTTGCATGTATTCCTCTTATCTATAATTAATTCTGCAATTTGTTTTCCTTTTGGAGTTTTAGGTAACTTACAATCTCTAGCTAAATGTCCTATCTTTCCGCAGTTATAACAAGTACATTCTGATAGTTTTCTCTTTGGTCTATACGGTCTTTTTGTTTTATAATTTTTTGCATAATATTTTTGTCTTGGTTTTTTGTATTTATATCTAGTTTTGGTTTTTCTATAATTTTTGTGTCGTTTAGGTCTTTGTTTTTTATAATATTTATTTGTACATCCAAATTGTGGTGCTGTTTTATTTTACAACAGGCTAGATTTTTAATTAGTACTTTTTCCATTTTTATTTTTTCTTTTTGGTTTTCGCATAATTCTACAAACCATTGATGTAAAAATCTTATTCTAGCTCCTAAAGTATCTGTTAATCCTTCATTGTTCCAGTCTTTAATTATTTTTGTACTAAATGGTTCTGGTAGTTTTGTAAAATATTGTTGTCTTATTTCTTTTGCTTCATTTATACCATATCTTGCTTTGTAATAATATTCTTTGAATGCGCATGTGTATTCTTCTATATAACACATTTTACATATAGCTAATTTTGTCATAAGTTGTCTATTTATTGTTTTTTCTCTATTTTGTTCTTTTATTTCTGTGGTCATACCTCCAAATTTATTCCGTATTGCTAATTCGTATTTATCTAGTATATCTATATTTGTTGTTGATGGAGATCCATCTATTTTCTTGTCACTTCTAAGTGTTTCTCGACTTTCTGGGGTAAATTTCCTATCCATAATTTTGTTGTTCCAACAAATGTTCTTTCTATATATCCTGGTGTTTCTTTTGTTGTTATTTTGTTATCAATTAATTGTTTAGATATATTTCTAACCCATAGTAATATTGCTTTATTTATATCTGTAACACAATCTAGATCTAAAAAGTTATATTGTTCAGTTATTGATCTAGGCGTCCATTTTTTATTTAACCCGCTATTCCATATTGCATTTGTTTAATCTGATCGTTCATAATTCTCTGTATAATAAGTTGGTGTTGTCCATTTAGGACTACTTCTAGGACTATTATCTGGGTTTTAACTCTTGATGTGCTGGGTTGATTTATATCTCCTGTATTTATTTCTAATTTTTTCGGCTTATTTACTTGTTCTAGAATTTCTGTGTATGTTTCACTTATATCACTTATTTCTAAGTTTTGATAGTTTATTGTATCTGATTCATTTATTTCGTCTATTTCAAGATTTTCATTTAATTTTTGTTTCATCTTATTTATCTCATTAGTTAATTCAAGTTCTTTATCTTTTTCTACCTGTTTCTCTTTTTGTTTGGTTTCATATAATAATTTTAGCTTAGCTAATTCTTTTTCTAATTCACTTATTCTTGTATTTTTTATTTCTTCTAGATGTTGTACTTCTTGCTTTGCTTTTATTTTTTCAATTTCTTTTGATTTATCTATTTCTTCATTTTCCTTTGTTATTCTTACCATAGCTGTCAAACTATTTTCTAATTTTGTTGTTTCTTTTTCTAACATTAAATATAAGTTATTTCCTATTTTTTATATCGTCTTCCTAAATTTGAAAAATATTATTTTTATTACTAAGCCATCTTGATTTTCATATGTCTTTTGGTCTACTGCAAATTCTTCTTTATTCATTATGGTTCGTGTTATAGCTTATATCATGTTGTAATTTGTATTCTAGGCAATCTATTTGTATTTCTAGCATAAATATAACTTTTCTTTGTGCTAATATTGATTTATTACATACTCCTGCTAACATATTTTCTTCTAATCTTTCTTTCCTGTGTTGTAATTCTTTTCTATTTTTCAATTATCTTCTCTATCAGTTGTTGTTTCTATGTTTCTTTGTTCATATTGTTTTTTCAGGTAACGAACATACTTATATTTTGTTTTAGAAATTATATCTATCAAAAGATTTGTTTTACTATTATTTGTTTTAGAAAGTTGTAATAATTCATATTTTATATATAAGGTTTTTAACTTTTTCTGTGTCTTTCGTACCTTTCTTTCTATTTTAGTTTTTGTTATAGTAGCTTTATTTGATGTTTGATTATTCTTCATAGTTTTAAGAGTAAAATATTTTTTCATAATATTTTTTTTTAAGTAGATCTAATCTTTGTATTTCATTAACGTTGTTTGTAATATATTCTAAATATTCACTTTCTCTAGTTCTCAAATATTTGTAAAAAATTTCAACTAGTAGTTTTTCAAGTACTTCTATTCCTTCTTTAGTTTCTTTCCAGAATTGTAAGTATAAATAATTTATCATTGTTCTATAAATAATTCTATATCATCATATAAGTCTATACCAAAATCTTGGGTTGTTTCTTTTATTATCTCATACATCAATAATTTTTCATAAATTTCTCTTTTTGTATCGGTATTAAGACTTTTTAATATATAAAGTATTAATATCTTGTAATTAACATCATCTTCTAATAAATAGGATTTCATTTTATCATATTTTCGCTAAAATTTTATTCCTTCTAACCTCTTAATAGATTATACTTATTTATTATGTAATAATAATGATTTAATAATCATCTCGTCTGGTCACTACTACGGTTTTCTTCTTTGATCAGTTACCCTAATAGCGCCTCAACTTTGTTTACTCCCCTAACCGGCCTTCTTGCCTATCGATTTCAACTTTAGGATGGCATAGTCTGGGCATACCTATTCGCAGAATATTTCCGTAGCAAACTTTCTAAAGATGGTTATTATACCCAAGTTGAAGAGCTCAAAAGATAGGACCATATGCATGTTTATCGAAATCAAATACTGAAGAAAATAAATTGCGTAGAATGCAAAGCTTTATCTGGAACATGTATATTCTGAAACCTCTTCGAAAGAATAGCACTGGATAGTAGTAAGTTCAACTCACCATATCAGTGACATCATCCACCACGATGTCTTCAACAAGTGACACAGTTTCTGGAAGTGGCTGATAGTGCAACACTATTAGTTTAGTAAAGATCAAGGGACAAAATAATACCAGCAACTCATAGAAAATCAAAATCAGTACAACTTCCAGACAATTCTTTTGATATTTACAAGTAATCAACCATCATCTTTTATATAACCTATAAGGCAATCAACCATCTCCAAGTCCAGTATTAGTTTACTAAATTAGAAAAAATAAACATACAGCTGCCAAAGGGAACATATCAATAAGAAGATCTTCCAGCAAAATTATCTCTGTTTTATGATGGAGTCACTAATGCATTATGACCGCGCTCTATTCCCTTGTGCAACAGGGAAAGCAAGATGTGGTAAAACAAGAAAAAGGACTGTACTCCAGCAACAAAGATTATTCCTTTTAAAAGACAACTAGACAACATCATTACAAAACTCCAATACTGAGTTTCTGTTCTTTCCTTAGAATCAGCACAGGTCCTTGGTCCTCCCAAAAGTCCCTTTAGACATTATTGCTAGATCCTAGACACAAGCTTAGAACAATCATCAAAGAAACTAAAAGTATTTCCCATAGCCGGTGAGTGATTTTTGTTAAACATTAAGCAACAAGCGAAGGCCATATTCAATCTGTTCTATACAAGCTGCAACTTTTCCCACTATAAATGTTTGTACAGAGAAAAGAAAAGCTAGGTGACAGCAGCATGACATAATTCACTGTATTGCCATACACACAACAATCAACGCGTATAAACACCATGGACATACGCAGATGAAAAACAATGAAGAGATAAAAAGTGAAACAAAGAGGCATCTTACATTGCTATCATCTCCAAAACCATACATCATGTGTTGCACTGTGTAATAAATAAAAGAAATATTAATAAATAATACAAGATGAAGTGATTTAACATTATTATCACATCTACATAAAGAGTCACTAACAATCTTTCTGAAACATGCCACGTTTCCTCTTAAGTGAACTTTCTGAAGGTTGTGATGCTCCTACTCTAGCTTTTGAGGATGGCCCTGCAGAAGAGTTGTTCATTTTCAATTTATTTTAACGTCCACCTCTCAACCTGCCAAAGTGTCATACCATCCTTAGCAAATACCATCAATCAAACGTATTATATATAATTATCTGACAGATACATCACGCAAGTACCATTGAAAAGAAAATAGAAAACTGAACGCACAAAGAATGCACTTCCATAGTTCTTATAATGGTTATCACCACTTAACCACCTACACAATTAGCTCAAAATTTTCCGGTTCTATAAAAAAGGAAGCTCATGGTAAAGATGGAACATGCATTCTTCTATGCAGCTCCCAAAATAAGCACCCAATATATACACAACCCATATATAACTGGAAAAAAGTTCTTTTACTGTAAATGATCATCAAATAATAGAATTCATGAAAGATTAAAAGTTAAATCTATTTTTTTTCTATATGTACATTGTGTGGAAGCCATTACTGAAGCTTTGTTATACAAAATCCAAGGTGGGACAGACGCGAATTGGGCATATCGATCAACAACAAAAATAATAATAATAACACAGTTATCAAACAATCAACATCCAGGAGACCAGGAGTGCCAATGTATTGAAGAAAAGGAAGAAAATGCAAGAGCACATAAAACATTAATTATAATTTCTGCAGTCACAATCACAATTAGGATCGTAAAAGAGAAAAAGAATTCCGAAGAGAAACCTGCAAAAGTGTTGATTCCACTGGAGATGACGAGAGCACAATTGTAAACAGAATTTCAAATTGAAATTCCAAAATTATTAGGGTATTAGAGACATCCGCTCAAATTTATTAGAAATTGGGGAAAAAGTTTATGTTGTTCAAACGGGTATGTCGGTGAAAAAAAAAGAATTTGGGTTTAATGGATCATAGTGGCCATCAAACAAGCCCAAAATAGTTTTTATCAAAGGCCCAAAACGAAAAAAAATGTTACTCTAGCGATAATTTTGCATGTTTAACAATTTATTTTTTTAAAAAGAAATCGCTACATAAATTTTTTGTTGTCTATCAGATATATCAGTTGTAAGTCAGACATAATGAACTTGTTCAATTGATGATAAGTTATGTCTTGTAGGTAAAAATGGCATGTTTTGATCAATTGATCACAAATTGTAACAATCGAGTAAAATTTGATAACATTCATTATAATTTCTATATATCGTATTAAATTGTTATACGTTATAATATATTAATGAAAAATGTTGGTATACTTTAATTATTCAACAACTTTTTTCCTCTGCCTCATATAGAGTCATTCCTATAATCCATAAAAATAATAATATACGCTTTTAATTGAAAAGGTGTATGGCTAAACTAAGAAAAGCTATTGAACACTACATGCTTGACCTTTGGAAGAAGAAATCAATATATATATATAAATAAGGATCTTCAATCCGCCTATGTGGCATGCCTCAATGTTGAGAAAAATATATATATTTTTTTTTTAAAAAAAATAGGGCTTTTTAGATTATTTCTTTTTACACAATATTATATATATATATATATATATATATATATATATATTGCTATTAATAAGTAACTTAATGAGCATTACACCTCCTAACCTTTTAATAATATCTATAACATCTAATTTTTGATTTAATAATATAACTCCTAACCTTTCATATTCATAACTTTCAAAATATTTAATATAAAAATTATAACTCCTAAATATTACACCTATAAAAATCCACTTTGAGACATTGCATGATAGTCATTTTATTTTTATTTTTCTTATTCTTCATTTTTTATTCCTTTGATTTGTTAATTTTTTTTGTCTTCTTTGATCTGATTTTTACAGGAGAGGGATGTATGATGAAAAATATTATATATTTTGCATATTTTGATTTTGTGAGGTAAAATGATTTGACATGTCTAATTATCATAATCACTTTTGTTCTATTATAATTACATATAGATTTGATATTATTAGGTTGGATTGTTGATGATACAAATCATGATTCTTTTATAGAAAAATAATTTGTTCTTTTTTTTTTGCTTCTCTTTGTAGTTTTTTGATATTTTTTTTCTTATTCTTGTAGTTTCTATCGACACTGATTGTCTGTATTCACTTTGTAAATTTGAAGAATCGAATTATGTTATGTTGAGAACATGATCCTTCGTTCCTCTTCAAATCATATATAACTTAATTATTTTAAATATTTTTGCTTGATTAGTTAACTATAATTTTATGTCTTTTTGTTGTTATTATTGTAAGGATTATAATTATGTTATGTTGAGAACGTGATCCTTTTTTCCCCTTCAAATCATATATAACTAAATATTTTAAATATTTTTGCTTAATTAGTTAATTATTTTATGTATGTTTGTTGGTATTATTGTAAGGATTGTTTAATTATGTTATGTTGAGAACATGATCCTTTTTTCCCCTTCAAATCATATATAACTAAATATTTTAAATATTTTTGCTTAGTTAGTTAATTATTTTATGTATGTTTGTTGGTATTATTGTAAGGATTATTTATAGTTCTCCGGTTAAACCTCTGATGCAATAAGAGTTGATTGGTTCCTTATCAAATTAATTAGTTAATTGAAAAAACGTCAATATATCGTATTTCTAATTTCGTCTAATAATATCTTCCTCCTCACTAACTATAAAAATGTTATACAAATATATATAAATATAAGTAATAAAAAAAGTAATATATCACATCTCAATATAAAGTAAATAAAATACTAAATATTAAATACAAATATTATATAACTAAGAATCAAATAAATCGATTCCTCTTATAATTTCGTATATCACAATACATAACAGTGATATGGTAAAAATAATAATTTTAACGTTGCATTATTTTTTATATTATTTATATATAGAAATTATTTATAGGCCAAATGTTTCATAATTTTGAGAATTTAATCAACAAAAAATTAAATATTTTTTAATTTTATTTTAAAACATTCGTACGATTACTTTTTTTTTTTGATAATTTCAAAAAAATTTCTAATTCCTTTTGATTAACTTTTTAATTCTATGTCCCTTTTTAAATTTATTTTTAATTAATTTTTCTCTTAATAGATATCTCTCCTATAATATAAAATAAGAGAAAAGTATATATTGTTCAAAATAATAGTAATTACTAAAAATAATGTTTAATATTAGAAGCATATTTGGAGACTTTTAATAATTTAAAATTTCTAAAATGAGGTAAAAAGAAAATATGTCATATAATAAAATAAATCATAAAAATGGTGGAGGATTTTACTTAAACAGATTTTTGTTTATTAAAAGAATATGTCACATTTTTTTTTACCTTTTTCCTCTTATTTTTATAAACTTATTTTTAATTAAATTTTTATTATAAACTCACACCTCTTCATCTTTCAATACCTCTATACTTACTTAATTAATACTTATTAGTAATACCTATAACTTCCAGCTTTATACCTTCGTAACCCCAAATTACTTAATATTTAAATTTGTGATATCTTAAAAGCACATCAAAAAAATATTTCTAACCAAATATATTTATGTTTAGCTTAATTGTCATCTACTTTAATCATGTAATGAAAAATCTATCGACAAAGACTTCTTTATATAATTATTTTTACTTCTAATAAGAATGACACAAAATAAGATATATAAAAGAGAATAATTGATTTGTTTTTTTACATGAAGTTATAAAAGCAAGATCATTACTAAAAGTAAAACAAAAACAATTCTTGAAAACATTAAAATGTATTTGTAGATACGCTTAGCGGTGGGAGATAATCAAAATTATTATGAAGTTATTTTTAAATTTTAAATAAAATACGAATCATGAAAACTATAAAAATTAATTAAGAGAATTCATTTAAACATTTTGCTTAAATTAATAAAAATCTTAAGACAAGCTAACTTGATTATGTTAAGATTTGATGCTAATTGTACTATTTTAAAAAAATATATATAAATTAGTAAAAATACTAAAGACGGGCAAACTTCAGTCTTTTAATTACGATGCTAATTGTTTGTGTTTTCTTAATAGAATTAAATAAGAAAAGACTAAAAAAAGGAGACTAAAAAATAGAGTTGAAATAATTTTTTTTAAAAAAACTTAAAATTATAGAAGAAAATTTCTCAAGGAAAAAATTAATACAGATAATCATTTCAAATATACTTATTACTAACCATTCATCCTCCATTTTAATGATTCCAAAAGTTTACTTAACTTTTTCTCCTACACTTTAATTATAAGAAAATATTATTTATCGTTAATAATTATAAATATTCATATTATTTGTGAATTTTTTTTTATGTTTACTTTATTTAGAAAGAATTCAAGAGTCTAATTATAAGTTTTTAGTAGATATATAAGTTTTTTTTTAAGCTTAACATAAAACCTTTTATCATTCATCTATAATTGTTCATTTATTACTTATTTTATTATGCATTTTAACAATAATATATTATTTTTATGTTAATTCTACATCACTAAAAATTATTTTACCGAACTAAAATCATGTATCACCCATTTCCTTCCAAAGAATCAACATATAGAGAACTTTATATTTTAACTAATCTATTTGAATTTAAAAATTAAATAAAAATGGAAACATTTAGATACCGCGCATAGCGCGGCTAAGTTTACTAGTTTTAATATAAACTATTAGGCATTCAAATTAATTGCTAGTGGCAGTACCCACAGACCAGATGTGGGACTTTCAATCATCAGGAGATAGAAACTGTCATTTTCAGCTGCAGATACATCTTCACGACTTTCAATCATCAGGTGGGAAGTCCTCATCTGAGGCATTATCCAGAAATGAACCAAGAGTTTTTCTCAGAAAACTGAATGCTTTATCATCCTGTCAAGCAAAAAAGGAGGACGGTTAACTTGGCGGTATGAGAATGTATGCAGTGTGTGACAGAGATAAGGTGCATCAAAGAAGTTAACCTGCTTCTTTTTCTTCAGCGACTCCTTTAGTTCAGAAATTCGTTTTCTAGAGTCTTGCTCAAGATCAGATATCATGCTCTTCTCTTTCTTCCCTGAATTAATGTCATAAAAATCTGTCACAGGCATCCTTATCATTCAATAAATATATAATACAGAGTTCCTGTAACTCACTTAGTTGCTCATATTGCATGAATAGTCTTTCCTTTTCCTCCTCATATTTGGATATAGTATCTGTGAAGATACAATCACGATGGTTAGCGTTAAAATGTTTTCTTCAAGCAGGGTTTGTGAGGACTCTTCAAAACATATGGCAGGTATAAACGCGTAAATCTAGTTGAAATTCTGTAACAGTGTTCAGTTAGATTGCAAATTTTTGTAAAATGATAAACATGAAATGAATATGAGGTGGGTGGTTAAACTAGAAACACAATGTTCCAAAAGTTGTACGGACTACAAACAGGTCCAACTCGTGTGGAAAATTCGCATTAGAAGAAGTACCTCTGAGAGACTGCAGATGTGTAGCTTTCTCCTTGTTGAACTTCTCATAAATGGATTGGAACTTTGCAGTTTCATTCTTTAGCAGGTTCTCACACTGCATAGAAGCAATATATTGTAGAGTAATGAGCTTCTTTCGAACGCCCTATCATGGGTAACTTATCTAATTGAGGCTGACCTCTTTTGAGCTCTTGGACAGTGCCTTCGCAAAACCTTGCCTAATGAGCAAACATACTGAAGATCAACAAGAAGCTTCCACTTGCAACAGTTAAATTTACATTAAGCATATATTATGCAACACATATTTCTCACCTGTCTTTCTCAAGTTTTAATTTCAGCTCATCGATCTTTGACTTGACTTCTGAAGTCACGCTAACCACAGACCACAATAAGCAATAATGTTAATAACCATTTCTTTGATTTAAGCGACACACTCCATAAAT